CGAATGCTTTCACCATAGCTTCTTCATTTCTGAGTTTTGAATTCTGACTCATCATTTTGTTTCTAAGATTTTTCTAGAAAGTGCATGAGTAGTATATTTCCCAAGTTCATTCATATTTGAAAGTGTCACATTAGACAGCTGTCTTTTTCCTGAAGGACAACTTGGCTTGTGACACAATTGTTGGGTTAACTCTTAGACATTTCTTAGACATTTCTTCACTATCTTCTGGCACTGGGTGATGCTCTAATAAAGCCAAAGACCAGCTTGCCTTTTTATTCTTTCATGTGGCTTGCTTGTTCACAGAACCATAGGATACCTTCTTCCATACTCTTACCCAATTAACAACTGAGTATGTACTATATACTGGATAGTGCTTTTAGGGTTGAGCATTGTTGGAAATGCCTTTCTGTGAATCATTCAATACCAAATTTTGTTGGGACACCATGTATCCATTTGAGCTTCAGATTTTTAAGTCTGTATTCTAGAAAGTTGTGTTTTGACTTAATTTTTGTTGATTTGTTCTTCATTCTCCAAAGGTCATTGTGAATATTAAATGAATTAATACACATAAATCTCCTCATGTGGGCATGTAATCGATATCTTGTAACCCAAAGAAGAGCTCTTCTTTCTTTTTTATAAAAGAGAATGGTTGCTTATCTATAATTTCTGTGAGATAATGGGAAACTCTCTGAACACTTTCCATGTTTGGGGAGGATACTACCTTTTGTGATGTGTTTTCTTCAGTCTCTCATTATGCCCTTTATCTGAGTTCTTGTCCAAGGTTGGTTCTTATCCTAATATAATCTGTCTTTATTTGTTGAAGCCAAATAGGATCCACCAAACTAGGGTACTCAGTACTTTGTTTTCTTGAACATTCAATCACCAGCTCTATTCTTTTGGTTGACTTGGGACTGTGTGTCCCTCCGTGTGTGTGGAACAGACTGATGTGACTCACAGAAAAGCCCCTTTACATGACAGGCTCCTTCAGTTCTAATCCAAACCTCTTCCCCCAAACACACACAAACCCCCCAGCTCACAGACACTGAGGAGAGCATGTCACCTTTGCCCCAGTAACTTCATGATCTCTATCTTGAATGGCATCCCTAGGGGGTTGCTTTCTCTCTTCCTGCGGCCTGCCCACATCCTTACAAGAGAAACCTGGTTTTTGCTCAAGATCTAAGGAGTCATCTTTACTCTCAAATTACCCCTGTGTCCATCTAGATTTCATAGAATGTGGACGATCAGCTAGATTTTTTGGTTGCAATGTTCTAAGTATAAAAATCTAATTAAGATTTGCCACACACTGTCTCTGTCCAAAAAATGAAACACAAAACAAACAGAGCAGTCTATAATGTGGATGTGGTGGCTTCAGGAACAGCTGGATCTAGGAATTTAAATATATCATCCTTGAGCTTGATCACTATCTCCATTCTTTGGTTCTGCTTGTTTACATTCCATTTCCCTCTCAGAGTCTCTCTCCAAAAGGCAGTGAAAATGGCAGTGTTGGCTTCAAGGCCATATCATCTTTACAAGTTTGTGAATCTGGAGAAAGACCACTTTCCTCTAAGGCCTCTGAGTGATTTATGTGTATTGATTCATTTAATATTCACAATAACCACTAGAGAACAGAAGAGATCAGGGAGGAATAAAAGCCCAGGGAGGAATACAGTGGGGTCTGGCTTGGATCGTGTGACCATCTCCAAACCAACTGCCATAGCTGGGAGAAGCTGTAGCACTCTGATAGCCAGCCCTGGGTGACACAGCTACCCCTGGGAAGGGAGTTAGGGAAGGCCATGTCCGTCCTCATCCAAACGCGGACAGAGCAGGATTTACTATACAATGTCAGAGGGCTTGCTCCCAGAGGGAAGCTTGCCAGGGCAGACAAAAATTTCAAGCCTGTACTGCATTGTAAAGTTTGCTCCCTGTTTTATACCTTTTTTTTTCTTTTTTGCTGACATTTATTTCTCTGTTTTTCATTCTTTGCTACTTTCATTGGGTTTCTGCAGAATGCTTTTGCTTTACCATATTTAACCTGAAGCCCACTTTATTTTTTATTCCAACAATACTAAGGGCATTTGGTAGTTTTAAAGAAGACTTTCAAGTCCTAGCAATCATTCCGCAATCTACAGTGAGGGCTAGGAGGGGATGGGAGTGGAGGAGCAATTATTTTCATTTAATAGACTAAAAATTGAGCCCCTAGAAGTGTTAGGAAACTGACACTAAACCATTCAGCTATCTCAAGAGGTTGAGAGGGAACCAAACCTAACTTCAGAGATCCTGGCTCCTAGAGAAGACTTCCAAACTCTCCACAACAACTGACTGCCTTTGGGCTCTTCCTATGGGTCACATTTCCAAATCATGACAGTTTGAACAGCATTTATACAGAAAGTCTGAAGAGGTACTTAAGCAGATATATAAAGGAGCTCATCAGATCAGACCACAGGATGGACGGAGAAATGGATGGACGGAGGATGGAGATGTACACACATACTTTTTCTTAATGGCAGCTTTTTTATTTGCAATTCATATGGAAATACAAAGTAAGAGGTAATGGAGTATCGCTGTGGAGCAGGCCTTCCATGCCTTAAATGAATCCCTAAATGGTTACAAGGAAATTGTCATTAACTGGTGCATAGATTGAGGATGACAGTTCCATAAGTGTTTGAGTGTCTTCTCTTTTGGAAAGTTACATCACCTCCAATATCTTGTTTCCAGCAATACCTGGCTTTAGCAAATCCATTTTTCATCATAATGAGCATGAAGTCAAAATCCAGGCCATCCCGTGTGTCTAAATTATCCATATTGTAAATTAAGGGTGTACAGATCAGTGTAGTTTTACTGAAATAAACTGTTCCGCCCTCTCCTGAGTGAGAAAACCACTCACCACAAAGGACAAACAAGCCCAGAAGGACCCCATGCTGGGAGCAAGCATGTCCTCACTTGCTCTGTCCCCTCTGCACCATCTAGCTGTTCACGGTCCTTTTAACCCACTGTAATCTCCATTCCCTTCCCTCCTTTCTGCCAGCCCAGCTCACTGAGACGACTCTTCATTTCCCACTTTATTATGGTCTCAAGATGAAAAAATGTTAATTGAGGGTAGGGTTCGCTCATCAAAACTGGGAATACTCCGTTGCATAGTGAAGATCATTTCTTGGAATTATTCACTTAAATGTTTACAAGAAACAATTATCAAGTGTCCCAGACTGATTCATAAATGTAATTAATGAAAGAATTGCTAAGAGTTTCCATTTTCTGGTTTGTTTTAATCCTACTGTATAAACTTTTTTTTGTTGGCACCACTTCAACAAAATTCCACCCCAGGATGAAAGGAGGTAAAGATTCATAGAGCAGAAATGTTATTGGAAGTTGAACTTGCCAGGGTGTACTGCAAAGCCAGACACACTCATTATCTGACACAAGGGCTGTCCTCACAAAACAAAAAAAAAGAAAAACAATTAGCGTTGCTGCCAACGCCTCATAATTTTGGACAGTCAGGAAGAATTGCTTCCAGTTCCTAATGGATTTGTCCTTTGCTGTTTGTGGGATAAAATATGTAACTGAAAATGCCCTTGCTGTCCCAGACTGAGGAAGACATAATGAACTCTGGCTTGCCAGATTGTTCTGCAACATCTGAAGGTTTGCAAAAATAAATAAACAAATCAGACGGCTCTTGTCTGGTTTTTCTCGTCAGCTTTCATTACTGTAAGGATGGATGCAGCCAGATAAACGTTTCCTTTTTACTTCAGTATTGAAAGGAACACAAGTTCTCCCACTGCCTTTTATGTTGAAGCGCTGAGGTCCACAGCCTATTCTTATTCACCAACTGGAAAAGATTGGTCTGCAATGGCCAGTTTGATGTTTTGTGCTCCAACTCCCAGAGTCCCAATTTGAAGTTGTTCTCTTCCACTTAAGGAGACATTTCATTTTTCCCTTAATTTAAAAAAATGTTCTGAATGCAGAGCGACATCACGAGGACTACTAGGTTGCCTAATATAAATTCTGTGTGTGTGACACTCTTTAGGCTGTGTTAGCAGACAAGGTCAGCTCAGCTCAACTAACAAGCTGACAAGCAGCTACTTCGGGGAACAGTTTTCAGTCGTACAAGTGTGCGAGCCAAAGTCAGACCCAAAATCTAAAGTGAGAGCAACATACACTTGGTCTTAAAATGGCCCATGGAATTTTATCTTGTTAAGCAAATTTGCACTGGGCAATTGTCCATGATGACCCAATGGAAAGTCCTAGAAGAAAATATCTTTAATTGAGTGACCCTGCCCAACCCAAGACCTTCTGCCTATCTTAGCATCACTCTGCCTGGGACTGGGAAACAGCCTGCTCTCCCTCTCCAGCCTCCAATAATTCAGCCTTTTTTAGTAACACACCAGGGTAAAAATACACGGTCTATATAGAGAACACCAGTTTCTCCATAAGTCCTAAATATGATAGGGAAAGCATTTCTCATGGATGCTCTATCTAGGAATGTGGTATGAAATAAAGTAATTTCTAATCATTTGATTATAAGGGGCTAACAGAGGGATAGCACAGGTTTCACAGGACTCTTCTGCTTTAACCACTAAATATTTAGTCCAAGTTTCTACTGGAGAATAAAATAAGTGTTCATGTCTGTAGCGTTAAAAACCGCAGACTAATCCAAAGGGAAGTAACGGGGCATTCTAGGCCAGTCAAAAATCCCAGATCATTCACAAAGAGAATGCCAGCTATCACTCAGGGGCTGGCTGGAACCGTCCAACCAAACCTTATTCTGAAAACCCATGGAAGTAGATTCATGGCACTGATGGATAAAAGGGTTCCTAAGGACTAAAAAGGGAATGATCTGCAACCAGTTCCATTCAGGTTTGAGAAGAAATCTCTCCTACTCACGCATTAACTTACAATGTGTTTATATAAAAGGAAAAGAGCAAATTAATCATCTATATAAGATGGAGAACAAATTGGTATTCAGTTATCTTGATCTGAAAATTAAATTAAAAAAGAATACTGACCCTCCACTTCCGAGACGAGATGGTAAGGATGTTGTTCCTTTGAACCCTTCTTGCTGTTTGATTTCTCTGAAGCCTCCATCATAAGTTAGTTGAAAAGGATGGCTCTTCAAATGGCCAATAGTGTTTGATTCTCTTAAATAAGTCCCATTTATTTCCACCATAGAGTTCCCCATCATGACCATTTCTTTGGATACCACGGTCTTCTTTGCTGCAATAACCAAGGAAATGTTTTGTTAAGCAATCCCCTTTCCAGGAGTCACTACCTTTCAACATTGGGTTTTTTTTTTATTGTCATTTGTTTGTTTGTTTTTTGGTACCAAGGATTGAACTCAGGGGCACTCAACAACTGAGTCGCATCTCCAGCCCTATTTTTGTATTTTATTTAGAGACTGGGTCTCAGTGAGTTGCTTAGCACCTCGCCATGGCTGAGGCTGATTTTGATCCTCCTGCCTCAGCATCGCAAGCTGCTGGGATTACCGTGTGCCACAGCACCTAGCTCAACACTGTTTTTCAGTTGAAGAATTTATAGAATTTTAAAGTTATACATTATTTGACCAAGTCTAGACTTTTATGGTCAAAGCCTTTCTGAACATACATAAGACTTCACCATGATTTTAGGTTTGACATCAATTCTGCAGGTAAAAATGAATAGGATTTTAACTGTGTTGGCTTAGGGTCTACCTGAAGGTAAACACTACAGTTTAGATTTATGAACTACCTAATCCATTGATGTACTTCCTTTGCCATAAAAATAACTCTTCTTCCTGAATTTGGCTAGTATTTTTTCATTTACAAAATATTTATTGAGTGCTTCCCTGCTATCAAGCACTGCTTTAGACACTTGGGTGCATCAGTGACAAAAACGAGATCCCTGACCTCACAAGGCTTACATCCTAGTAGGTATAAACAGACAATAAGCAATATACCACAATAAGATAAGTAAACACCCTCGACCCTTGCAAAAAAAAAAAAAAAAAAGCTAAAGTAGAAAAGTGAAGAAAGGTAAAGGGAAGTGGGGGTGTGGTAGAAGCAGAGAGCACTTTTGTCAGAGGGTCTGGTAGAGTGGGGACAGCAAGACCCTCAGGGCCATCAGAGGAGGAGGCACAGTGTTTCAAAGGGGACCAGCCAGTGTGGATGCCTGAAAGCAGGATCCTGTCTGGGAATGGAGTGTGAGGGCAGAGGAGGAGGGAGCCAGCAGAGGGTGGGGCCTGGGCAGGGCCCAGGAATGGAGGCCCAGCAGAGCGCTGTCATGCCACAGAAAGGGGAGGCAGCCACATGTCCACAGGGCTTCAGAGAGGAATGAGCGGTGCAAGAAGGCGTCCTGACTCTGAAGCGAAACACATATTGTGTTTACGGATGCAGGTGCTTAGACTTCAGACACACTTCCTATCAGCAAACTGACTCTAGGGATTGCTTATTGTCTATGCTGCTAGTAGACTTGAGCCTGTGAGAAAACATTTGTCAAAGAAGAAGAAAAAGCAAGTCTCCCACAGCACAGAGGGAGGTGGCGGTGAAATGAGCTTTGCATAGAAAAAAATAGTGTTTTACAAGTTTTTCCAAAGTAACTCAAGGTTCCTCTTCTGCACCTAATTAGTAACCAGTAAACCAATAAAAATTAATCATAACAAAACCACCTATTCTACCACTCTGACCAAGCTCCCTGATTTCAAAACTCAGAACTTAAAAAGCTTGAAAGGAACCTGAGAAATTGGCCATTCTAACCTCTCTTCTGAGCACCATGCCACTTTAAATAACTTTACTAGTAAATTATAAAGCACACATTCTGTTTTAGATTGCAAGGAATTTTCAGCCTATCATTATGTTTTAGCATGTCTTTCCTTCTTTCATTCACTCCATAGCTGTTTATTAATACTACTATGTGCTAGGGTTCCATGCACAAGTGAACCTGTGGTGATGGAGAAGTCTCAGGTATCCCATAGCTTCTAGAAGGGTGTGTGGGGGGGTGCCCAACTGTTCTTGCAAGTAGAGAAGCTGCACCCTCTATCTTCACAGTCCACCAGGGTGAGCTTGTCAGTTGTTGGTATAATGTGTAGTAGATAGCTGCCCTGGGGCTCACACTGACTCCTGGTGAAGGTCCACCATCAAACTGAGCATGTGTAAGGATACTCAGTGTCTCCCTGGCTAATACTGTAACACATTGTTCTAATTCTCTAACAGACCATGGACAAGCTTAAACAAACAAACAAACAAAAAGTCACCTGCAGCATCACCATGAAGGCAAAGTTCCCTTCACAGACGTTTCTTGCATACCTGCTACACACCACAACCTGTTAGGTTCTTGGGCTACAAATGGAGAAAACTGCTTTTCTTATTGGAGTTGCTCAATATAGTAGAGGAGACAGAGAGGCAGATCTGTAAGGAGATCAATGTAGTACAGTGTGGCACCAGCCAGGTAATAAGGAGGCACAGAGAATGGAGAGGATTTGAGGGGTGGGAAATTGTTCAGGGCAAGATTCTAGAGGTGGTGAAGCTTTATAAGTATCTGGAAAGATGAGGAAGAGGCAAACATAAGAAAAAGAAGCAAAAGATTGGAGTCAAAGGCAGTTTCATGTGTGTACAACCCGTACAAGTGGGGAGTAGGGGCACCCTGGCTTAATGCTCTGCTGTTGCCCTCTTGAAATTCTTTATTTTATAAAAAAGAGTCTCCCATTTTCATTTTGCACTGAGCCAAAAAAATTAAACAGTGGGTCCTGCCCAAGGCTTGAAACAGCAGGACAGATGTGGGAAATGTAAGAGGGTGGGGAGGTCTGTGTTTCTGGTGCACTGACTTCTAAAGGGCACAGGGAGAGGTGAGAGAAGGGCCTAGAACATTAGGTTGGGGCCAGATCACAACAGAGCTGTGCATGCAAAGGAGCTGGGACTTTATCTGCTAGACCAAATTACAATTCCACCAGATCTAGTCTGCCTCTGGTTCTTGTATAACCTATGAACCAAGAATGGTCTTTATAATTTTGAATGGCTAAGCGGGGCGTGGGGGTGGGGATCAAAGGAAGAATATTTTATGATAGGTGAAAATTATATGAAGTTCAAATTTCAGTGGTTATAAATCAGGCCATGGCTGCTTCCACACTCTAATGGCAGAACAGAATAGGTTGTGCAGAGACCACATGGACAACAGGGTTGAAGATATTTACTCTCCAGCCCTTGACAGAAAAAGTTTGCTCACTTCTGTGGAAGGCTGGCATTTCCCAAACTGTGTTCCCAAGAGAGAGATTTCAAAGTCAGGCAGGTTTGGGTTGAATTAAAATCAAACAGATGTCTTTGCTGGATGGCTTTTCCCAGTCCATCCAACAGGCAAGGATTAGGTAGCACTTCCCTGACTTACTTGAATACTAGGCTCCTTTTCCAAGGAAACGCTATAAACATTTTTCTAGAAATGTTCCCTGGAATTCCTGGAACTCAGTTTGGCCAATCCTCCTGGAGGCACAGGGGAGCTCTGAATAGATTTCAGCCTGGGGATGATGCAATCTGATTCCTTTGCTTCCTGACCTCTGTGCTTTATGGAAGACATAGAATGCCATCATTTTCCGAGGGTCATGGGGATAAAAGGATAAGGCTGCTCACAGTCACATCCTGTTGGGAGCTTGGCTTCCCCAGGCTCTGCTGGTAGTTCCAAAGGCTAAGGGTCATTGTGTCCACTCTCTTGCATCTAACTGCAGAACCCTGTGGGCTGAGGGCAGATAAGGGGGAAAGAAAGGGAGGAGGCAAGAGGTGATTGGCAGGGCAATGGCAGAAAAGGAGCATGGACTGAGCAGTCTTTAGGAAGTCATGAAGGCTTCATGAAGGAAAGAGGGACAGGCGCTGGTAGGAAGGTGGTGTCTGCACGAAGTCTCTGGCCTGAGTAACTGGGGAAGCATTAGCCACAGCATCAGGTCCTGCCTAAAACCTTCTCTGAACACAAAGCAATTAAACTGATGGCCCTATGGGGATGCCTACCTACACCTCGTTCCCTTTCATTTTCTTAAATTAGGAACTCCAAACCTGCCACCACACCCCAGCCCTGCCTGCCAGATTGTGTCAGCTACAAATGACTTCACACCAGGGAAAGGCCTCACCCTCTATCTCCAGGCACAGTTGGCTCTCTGGCCTGTTACCCAACAAAGCCTAACTTTTCTAAACAATAGAGAGCCTCCAAAATAAAACTTAGGCAGCTCTGATACAAATGACAGGCACTCTGAGGCAGGAGAGCCCGAGTATTTTTTTTTTTAATTGATGTGTGCTTTTAAAATGACCGTGACTTTTTACTGCCATTATTTCCTGAGTGCTGACACAGGCCACAGGGATGCAATCCACTGCCAACAGGGTGGATAAAAGAACTGTAACAAAGACTGGTTTCAGAGCATCTGGGAGGTGCGGCGTCCTGCTGGGAAATGAAGGTGCTGTGGTCACACAAACAAGGGCTGGGCCCTGAGGATGAGGACGGTGCACCAGGCACGCTTTGCATCCCGAAGTCATCTTCACATCAAGGTGAACAGGTCAGCAAGCAGCAGGGGTTTCAAAAGTGAGCAACTGGGAGTTCAATGCATCATAGCAACATTTACGCTCAGAACCAAAAAACCATTTTGCTCTCCAGAAGTGACCGGGGGCTCCAGAGCTTGTCCCCTCTCGTCTTGGCAAGCACTATCAGTTCTCTCTGATCTAAATGGTCTGGATGGGACTCCAGTGCTAGAACATTGGGAAATCTCCCCAGGTGACTACAGCTACAGATGAGAACCACTACTGAACTAGAAGCAGAAATTGTGTTGTCTCTGCCTCCCTCAAACCCTGCCCTGGCTTTTCACTGGAATAAAGCCCAGTCTGTTGTCCATGTCCCAAGGCCTTGTGTAGCCCTCTGGTCCCAGTTCCTTTCACCTTTTCTTGTCTAGCTGCCTCCTGCCATGCTAGCCATTGCGACCTCCACCAGAGATGGTGCCCACCAGGGCCTTGGTACTTGGTTCAACCTGGGCACTTTAACCACAGATATTTCCATGGCTGCTTCCTCCTATCATTCACAGGTCAACTCAGATGTCACCTCCTCTAACAGACCTTACAGAGCCCCCTCAGCTACAGCAAACTATCACCCCTGCCACAGTGCTCCCTATTTAGTCATCTCCTTTATCTTCTTCAACTGTCCTATTTGTTCTCTGGTTACCATCCCTCTCCCCTCCCTAGACTGAAGGCTTCCTGGCGGTGGGACTCTCAGGGCCTAGGATGGTACTGGCACTCAGTAGAGGCCCAATAAACATCAGACTGAGTGAGATGTCAAACTGGGACACTGAGGTAAAGAAGCTGCCTGATGGTTCGCTTGGTCATAGCGCCATGGTGTGATGCGCGCGCCTGCACCTCCCTTTGTTTTTCCTTTCTCCTTGATTCTACCTCTTCCTCTATGTCAGGGATCACACAGGCAAATAAGTGAAGCAGACTGGGGCACATATGAACAGCAGGCCATATTCTAGGCTATAGGATGGGCACTACTCATCTCCAATCATTTTCCATTGGAATGGGGACCCAGTTTCTCCAGATCTTGATTTTTCATAAGAGGTTATGAATCTGGATTCTTCTATGAGAGTCTTCTACTTTTTATATGTTAGCAACTAAAAAAGAGAAAATGCTTATATGTCTAATAAGTACGAAGCTCAGGTGGAGGATTGTGCCCACCAGGTCCATCTTCAGACTGTCTGTGACTGTACCTGCCGCTCTTCAGCAATCCTTGAGATGCAGGGAGGCCTGGATCTGCCAGCTCCTGGTAGTTTTCCACAGTGAGAGCCAGTTTATAATATGACCCTGAGCACACACTCACCACTGAAGAGAAGCCTCCTGAAGCAATACCTACCCTACTGTAGAGTGCTGCCTTTATTTCTGTTCTACTTCCTTTTTAAAAGTGTGATCTACCACACTGATTATTGTCCTACTAATGGATTCTTCCCTGTAGTTTGGAAAACCCTCAGTGTGCCCTGGAGCGGGGGTGATTTCCTGAGAATGTGAGGTCGTTGCCTCTTTGCTCCAGGTCTAGTTACCTGCCAGCACTTCTGTGACAGGAACAAGAGTCTCATTCAAGTTTTGCTTATATTCACAGGGAATCAGAATGATATTCAAACCTAAGCTTAGTAAACTTTGTGAAATTCTTAAATTTCTCATTAATTTTGAATGAAATTAACAACTTTTTGAACTCTAACTTTAAAATTATTTCTTTTCACTACTGTGAACCATCCATTTGGAAACCCTTATCCTAACATTCTTTTCCTACCAAGTGATATTTTTTAAGAACTGTGATATTTTTAGAAATTCTTAATAAATATCTAGAAAAATGTATGTTTCTTAGCCAGCTTTTGCCCAGTATTCTCAGTTTAAATAAAAATCACCTGGGGGGTCAGGAAAAATTATATAAAAATATTTTTTGTGCACACTTTCAAGAAGCATGCCTGTCCCAGGGTTTAAAGGAGGTTATATAGCCTTACACTCGGCGGGAAAGGATCTGTCCGGCAGAAGAGCCCCCTGGGAGGCTGCCCTGAATAAGCGCGCCCGGGCACTGCTTATTCTTCTAATCTTCACAGGGTCCACGGGGGGTTTAGGAAAGGAAAAGCAAGGATCCTCCTCTGCGCTGGGAGATGCTGGAGCTTTCGGTTTCTGGAAAGAGATTTTTTAAATGATTGGTATGAGTTTCTGTGTCTCAAATAAGGCTCACTACCCTGGAGCTGGCCCCAACCCTTCCAGAAGAAAACCAGGGCTTTCTGCTTGGCTTCATTCATCTTGGCCCCCTAATTCTACTGTCTCATTGGCCCACCTTACTCAACATGAGATGTGTGTGTGTTTACATATTAATTAAAATGTGTTAAATATATGATATATTTACATGTATATGTGGGTATATATGTGTGTGTGTATGTGTGTGTGCGTGTGTATGTGTGTGTGCGTGTGCGTGTGTGTGCGCGCGCGCGTGTGTGTGTGTGTGTGTGTATAGTGTTTTAACTGTTTTTGTCAATTGTATTAACCATTCTGCTGTACTGCTTAGCATATCCGAAAAAACAAGTTACCCATGCTGGCAAACAGATATTACTTGTATTTAAAATTATGTATAATATATTCAACATGCCTTGCAAAGTTTTGTGTTCAATTTAGCTCAGAAAACACTTATTGGACCCTTTATTTGCCAAGACTTATGTGGTCTATAAATGCTATCTTTACATATCCTGGACAAAAGTATTTTTTAAATAATGCCAAAATTTTAAAATGATTTGGATTAAAAAGTCACAAAACACAAAAGCAGGAAGCCATCTTGGACATAAGATATAAAAATATTTTATTTTTTACATCTCAAGAATTTTGAATGGATGATCCTTTGGAAAGGAACATTACTGACAAATTTCCAATCCCTTAACAACATTTTTGTGTGTGTATGTATGTGGTACTGGTGATTGAACCTAGTGATGTTTTACTCCTAAGCTACATCCCCAACCCTTTTTATATTTTTATTTTGAGACAAGTTCTCACTAAGTTACCCAGGTTAGCCATGAACTTGTGATCCTCCTGCCTCAGACTCCTGAGTAGCTAGGATTACAGGTTTGCAAAACCATGCCTAGCTCCTTAAAAATTTTTTTTTAAAAACCTGCACCAAACTCTGTGACAGCCAGAGCTCCTGCTGGTCTAACCTCCAGATGGCCTCCAGCTCCATGTCAGAGCCTCACAGGAGACTAAGCTTCCAGTTTCAATATTACCAAGTGGTCCTGTCCTTCTTACCTCTAAACTTTAGCATAAGTATTTGTCTATGAAAGAGAAGCCATATGGCAGCAAGCGCTTCTAGTGCTCTAACCAGGAATAATTAAGTTAAATTTCCTAAAGTCATTTACATAACATGATATGACTCACTGTCCAATAAGTTAATTAACACATCTTTGAAAAATCCAGTGTGAACATCATGTCAGATAATTTGGAAAAATCATCTACTATGTATGATGCATCCTCTCAAAATACTTGGTTTTCTCAAATGTACTACTAGAACATAGACATAGACATTAGAGTTTTCCCGCCAAGAATTTGCTTACTTCAATAATGATGGCATTCTGCAACAATATTTTTTATTTCCTCTTATTTGCATCTGGTTTACAAAGCAGACTCCCAAAATTAGTTTTATGATTTTAGAGATACATTTTAGAGACAGTTAGAAAAAGGTTAATAATATAATCAGCAGAACATAGAAGAAAGAGTAAATCACTTTGGGATCCAACAGAACCGGATTGGAATCCATTTACTGGTTATGTGAACCTGCCATTTGCTTCTTGAACTTGGTCAGCTACAATAAGGAAAGAAGAAACCCATTTTATAAGGATGCTGACATAAATATATTTCCCGTTATGAAAGCTCCATAAATCCTAGCTCCCTTCCCTGTACACAGTGCATATTCCTTATTTATAAAATTTGGTTCCCATTTGTTTGTTTGTTTTGAAGTGCTGGGGACTGGACCCAGTTCCTCACACATACTAGCCAAGTGCTCTACCACTGAGCTACATTTCTAATCACCCAAAGTCTCAGTAGATATGGCTAACCTGATTTTTTTTTTGTGGCAGGGACAGGGCGGGTTCCCAGTTAATTTGAACTCTTCCTAAAAGTCAAGGTTATAGCCTCTGATACAATCTAGCTGGAATTAAATCTCAGATTCTTTTTTTTTTTTTTTTCCTTTTGGTACTGGGGATTGAGCCCAGGGGTTACGTCCCCAGTTCTTTTCATTTTTTAGTTTGAGACAAGATCTTGCTTAGGGCTGCGCCAAGTTGCTGAGGCTGACCTTAAACTTGAGATCTTCCTGTCCCAGCCTTCTAAGTCACTGGAATTACAGGTGTGTGCTACCACACTCAGACCGAAGACACAGATGCTTCAGGGGTCTGTTCTGAAGGAGGTAACACTTATTTGTCTGCATAAATTGTGCTATATTTGTTCAATACATATTTGCTTTACCTTTTAGTCTCCCCAGTTTGTTGCAAAATAATCATAAGAATGTGACTTAGGCCATGAAACTAAATAGTAACAAAAAAGCAAATATAATAGGGGAAAATAAGTGCATTATACATAATTAGGAAAGACAAAATACATAAGGATAACCTCAATACCGAAGGTTGATATGAGGTTTCCTTATGTCAATGTGTCTATTTTCTATAGGTACCTTGAAACTGAAATAAAGATCAAGAAGTTGGCCAAATAATAATGACACAGATCAAATAAATGGCCCCTTTTACAGACCCTCTATCCCTGATATAAACATTTTGGGTACTAAATACAAGAGCTTATTACAAATGGAAATAATAGTCTGGAAATCTAATTTTTCCCCCAAAGAGAATAACCAAATTATCTCTGGCAGCAAGATAAAGTGCTATAACTGCTCCTTGATAGAAGGCACTATTTTCCTAGTATAAAATTAGTAATAGTTGTATAATAAAAATTTAGTTCCATTTTCCTCCTGTCCCACCCCTTTTTTCTTATACTGGGGTTTGAACCCAGGGATACTCTCCAAGCTACATCTCCAATTCCTTTTTATTTTGTGATAGGATCTCACCAAGTTGCTGAGGCCGGCCTCAAACTTCCAATCCTCCTGCCTCAGTCTCCCAAGCCACTGTGCGAGGTTACTATCGACCTTTAAAAATTGTTTGTCTCATTTAAACACACATCTTACTGGACTGTTTAGAAAATAAAGAACTACAAGTAAAGCATTTTTAATTCTTCAAGAGAAAACTACTACATGAGTCCAGAATTCTTTCTTTCTTTCTTTTGCAGTGGTGGGTATTGAAGCCATGGTCTCACGAACACCAGGCAAACACTACCACTGAGATACATCTTCAGCCTAGCAATTTCTTTCATGCTGGGTTCTGTAAAACATTCTTCCATTTGTGGAGCAAAATGACTTTTATGAAGAAAATCAGTTTTAAAAAAACCTTTTTCTTATAAAATTCAAATAATTTTAGAACGCACAGAATGGTGCATGTTTAAATCTTTGCCTGAGAACCTTACCTCCCTCAGGCTTTGTTTCATGACGCTAACTGGGGACTTGAGCATAATCAAGGACACCGGAGAAGCCCGAGTTTATGATTTGTTCCAGCTGATGAAACTGCAAGAGTTCACTGAAAACAGACTGTTCTCACAGAGCAACCCAGTCCAGGAAGACGCGATTCACACACCGTGTAAGGGATCCAGGTGGCCAAGGCTCACCCGACATTATGGACCTTGGTCATTTTCTGTCCTTGACTCTTCAGAGCCCCACAGAGGGGGCAGGGTCTCTCTTAGCCCTGGAAGGGGGCAGTGACATCCCACATCAGAAAGCTTCTCAAGATATAACAACTTGTAAAGTAACTCACACACGAATACATGCATGTTCTCAAAATCATGCCTGATGCAAGAACTCTTGGAAGGCAGAGAGCAAATATCAAAAATTCTCCCAAGCCCTGGACCTTTGAGACATGGCTGCTCTGAGTGCATTTCTGTTACTACAATTTTATCCACAGGTCCTCCAGACTACTTTGTCACTCACAGTATGTGACCTGCTGCTGTAATGTTACCATGCACTTCAGATATGAAGAAAAAACTGCTTTGACTTCTCATTCTTCTTTTTCTAACCCTGGATCACCCTGCCCCAACGTATATATGAGTTCCAAAGTCCCTTTCATTTTAAAACATATTACATTTTGTTTCACATGTCAAATATTAGAAGCTTGGTTCATGTAGAATACTGAAAATGGCTCAAAATTCTCTATGCTGTTGGAGGTCAGCATAGTAGCTGCCCTAGGGAGGCAGTGGCCAAGAGGTGGGCATTCCTGACCCCACAAAGATCTCTTTGAGATTCTGATGATGTCACTTTTTCTTTTTGAACACTGCTAAGTTTAGTTTGTGCAAATGTATCAAGTTGCACTCTGTGTGATCCGTGTCTTTTCTGTATGGCAATAAAAAGTTGCATAAAAATATTTGGGACTATAAATAAATGTGCTTTGTAAGGTTAGGAAACTGAAGGAGAATGCTGTTTTGACAATAATAATGTTAGGAGACAAATTTTCCTATTTATTCACGTTTACATTTCTTTTGACTTATTAAGTTCAAAGTTAAAGAGCAGTTGTTGTTTTTCTTTTTTTGGTACTGGGGGTCAAACCCAGGGGTACTTCACCATGAGCTACATTCCCATCTTTTTTACTTTTTATTTTGAGCAGAGTCTTGCTAAGTTGTTGAGGCTGGCCTCAAATTCACAATCTTTCTTCCTAAGTCTCCCAAGACACTGGAATTACAGGTGTGAACCACTGTGCCTGGCTGAGAGTAATCTGTGTATACAAATTTGAATGCCAGTTAATAGAGTAGCAGAATATAAATAGGAATAACTACCACCTAACTGCCCTATGTCTCAGGACTGTTGTGAGATGGCAGGGAGCAGCTAAGAAAGAAAAAAGATGTACCCCACGTACCTACACAGCAGGTAGATGTAAACATTCACGGAAGGCTACAAATTACAGTGCTTTTCTTCTGTCTTACAAGGTCACAGGTGCCAAAGGGAACCCTGTGAGCCAATCAGGCCAGCAGCCAAGGCCTGAGCAACCAGGAAGCAGGAATACCAGCTTTTCGATGGTTCTCAGAAGCCCTGGGCATTCCTGAGTGTGGGCAGCCCAGGGTCTGCTGGAGGAGATGGGAGGATAGGCAGGGGAGCAACAGAAAGAAGGTAAATATCTGGGAACAAAGAGTTTGGGTTGTTTGGTTAATGCAGGAGCTGGAATGGGCTATTTCTGGGTTTCTCTTTCCTGACTGATTGTTGGTTGAGTAATTATTAAAAGGCAAAGTCATCCAAGAAAGTGTCCTAGATCCAAAAAGTGATTGGTTAGGTCTTCACAAACTCTTTCAGCAAATGTGACCTTTAACTATGAGATGCTCCCCTCCCTTCTGCCCTCCTCCTTCTCCTTCTTTCTTTTGTGTCTCTGTCTCTCTCCAGTTGTCTCCTTTTCTCCACTCCTCCTTCCTCCACTCCAATTCCTCCTTATTCCCTGCCTTTGTCAATTCAGTGGGTACCAGAGTCAAAGGGTTCTTTAAAAGTGTAGTGAAAAGGGGAAAAGAAGGCAGAAGGGCAGACAGCAGAGGCCATATTCAGAATACTTTCATTGAGAACCTCAGATTTTCATTACTGAAATGAAATATACGGGGCTAGGGATATACCCCAGTGGTAAAGCATTTACCTATCAGGCAAGAGGCCCTGGGTTCAATCCCCCAAACAGAAAAAAAAATCAATTAAAATGAATAATATACTTAGTTGGGCGCGGTAGCGGTGGTGCACGCCTATAATCCCTCTGGCTCGGAAGGCTGTGACAGGAGGATCAAAGCCAGCCTCAGCAACTGTGAGGTGCTAAGCAACTCAGTGAGACTCGTCTCTAAATAAAATACAAAATAGGGCTGGGGATGTGGCTCAGCGGTTGAGTGCCCCTGAGTTCGGTCCCCAGTACCCCCGACACAAAAAAGAAATATACATAAGATCCTTAAGTAATCTACTGAAACAAAAGAATTTCAAACTACAGCAGTTATTTTACTTAACATAGTTGTTTGTTTTTTGTTTTTTGGGTTTTTTTTTGTACCAGGGACTGAACCCAGGGTCATTTAACTACTGAGCCACATCCCCAGTCCTTTTTATATTTTATTTAGAGACAGGGTCTTACTAAGTTGCTTGGGGCCTCACTAAGTTGCTGGCTTTGAACTTGTGATCCTCCTGTCTCAGTCTCCTAAGCCACTGGGATTACATGAGTGTGCTACCACACCTGGTGTTAACATAGAATTTTTTAGACTACTTTTTCTTTGAACACAGCACCCAATCATTCTGCAGTAAAGAAATTTGTTTCTGGGCCGGGGATGTGGCTCAAGCGGTAGCGCACTCGCCTGGCATGTGTGCGGCCCGGGTTCGATCCTCAGCACCACATATAAACAAAGATGTTGTGTCCGCTGAAAACTAAAAAATAAATATTAAAAAATTCAAAAAAAAACAAAAAGAAATTTATTTCTTATGCCAATACTGTCTAACACCTAATCCTGCAATCTAAGAATTACACAGGTTTGACAAGGACCACATGAACTCTAGAAATACAGAAGTTTAGGAAAGAGTAGGCCCAAATTGAGTGAGTTCCCCAAATCAACAGTAATATGCCACAGCTTCCTCAAAACCCAAGTGGTTTCCAAGGTTGCAGATGCAAAAAGCCATACATCATCAACAGCTGGCAAATTACTTCTTGCATATTAGTTTATTCTTAATATTTTGGGGATCTTATTTTTATCATTTGCAATATAAGAACAAGTGCAATTTTCCTCAGAGGCATTCTGATAAGTATTTTAGAAATATAAGATCCATTTTGAGACAAGTGGGGTCATTTGATTATACATTACTAAGGATATTACTAAGAAATGCTGATTATCTGAACTGTGATAATACAATTGTGGTTATGCAGGAAACTGTCCTTGTTCATATGAGATGCACACTCATAAATCTTCATAGATGAAGTATCATAATGTCAATAACTCCCAAATAGTTCATCAAAAACAAACACACACACATAAATACATGGTAATATAAGCTGAGAAGCAGTATGGCTAAGACACCATCTCCATGAACATTTAAGAAACTGGTAACAAGAAGTGCCTTTTCTTAAAAAAAAAAAAAATTCTTAGTTGTACATGGACACAATACCTTTATTTTATTTATTGATGTGGTGCTGAGGATCGAACCCAGTGCCCCACACATGTGAGGCAAGCACTCTACCACTGTGCCACAACCCCAAGCCCAAGAAGTACTTTTTTTAAATTTTAATTTTTGTGGTCCTAGGGATAGAGCCCAGGGGTACTTCGCCAATTTACTACATCCTCAGCCCATTTTAGTTTTTATTTTGAGGAAGGGTCTCAATAAATTTCCCAGGCCTGCTTTGAACATGCGATCCTCCTGCCTCAACCTCCTGAGTAGTTGGGATTACAGGTATGCGCCACCACGCCTGGCACAAGTACTTTTGATAGCAGAGGACTAAGGGGAGTGTGGCTAGAATAAGGAAGGCTGGCTGAGATTTTCGGTAACTCTTTCCTGTCAGTTCTATGCAATTAGGCTCCTGAACCCAGGAGAAGATGGGAAGTTTATTCTTTAGAGAGGGTAAAACAGAATATCTCTAATTGGGGGTCAATAAGTAAGGTTACCTTATAATAACTGTTTTTATTGTTGAGTGTCAGGGTAGTTATTATAAACATGACTATTAGTTGAATATTCACATACTGAATGCCAGGTACTCCTGCTTTCTTTCCTCACATGGCTCCTGAAAGCTAGCACCTAGACTTTGTCCCCCAAGAAAGAGCTGGGAAGCACCTCTTCTACAGGAAATCTGAAATCGATAAGGGAAGGCCTAGGATAAGCCATTGGGGGTGCTGGCAACAACTCTGCCAGGCCAGATCCCCTAACTGCAAGTGTATGGTACAGATCACTGATAGGTTGGCTAACCCCATCCACATGCCAACAAGCAGCATGAGGCATCAAAAGTGTGCTCACAGTATGCAAAAAGAGACCAAAACATAGAAATGCTACAGAGGCTATGCAGGGAGAAGAAAACTGAGTTTAAAAATATGAAAACTATCACTAATATATTCAGATAAGATGCTGCAACCATGAAACAAGAACAGAATACTACACAAAAATACAATTTAGAGGGAAAAGAAAACTTTGAAATATTAAATATAGGATAACAGAAATGAAAAGAACTCAAGAAAGGGATAAGAACCTGAATTCTTCAATAAGAAGTACAACAAAAGAGAAAATAAGAAAATGAAAAGACTGGTCCAACAGATCCTACATCTGAATAAATCCTAGACAGATTTGATCAGTGCATACTATATGCATGTACACTGAATTCCATTAGTATGTACAATTAATATGTTGATAAAAAAAAACTTTTAAGTGGGAAAGATACAATCAAAACTATTCAAGGATACTTCCCAGAACTAAAGGACATGAAATTTCATGTTAAAAGGGCATTTCAAGTGCCAGCATAATAGATGAAAAGAAGCCACCAAAGGGCCATTATGAAATTTCAGAACACTAGAAGCAAAGAGAAAAAATCCTTCGAATTTCAGAGAGGTCAAACAGGAATCAAGGTCTCAATTTATTTCCTAGGCACACTTTCTAAAGAAGCTATAGGAGGAAGGCTTCAATAAAATCGAGTGAATAAAAAAGAGAAAGTCATGGGTCCAGAAACAGGTAAAAGCCCACATAGAGGGAGGAGCTACCTCCTAGGATAAAAGCGAATGGTGCTTGAAGAAATCTGTGCACAGGGCACTCAGGGAAGTGGCTGGCAAGGACATTTGAAGAGCTCCCTAATGAGGTGCACTGATAGGACACCTCATGTGCCTGATCATACAAAGGCAATTTAGATTTGTGAGGCAGAGTTTGGGGTTGAAACAGTAAAACTGAGAGGCAAGGCATTATTAACATCAGAGAAGACAAGCAGTGGTGCATGCAAGGCAAAGTTGTCATCATTGGTCACCACTAATCCGAGGCCCAGCTATGAACAGGGTTTACACAATCACAATCCAAGAAAACTAACTTTGATTAGAATATAATCGAAGTTATGAGACAGCTGTATCGGGAGCAGCAGTGAGAACAGAAAGCGTGCGACATGCTATGATTGGAGGTAAAGGGACAGACCTGAATTTTCACTGTCCTTAGTGAGAAGTCATTAGCTGATTCCTCAAGCTTCCTGAGTCAGACAGCAACAAGGCAATGTGTGTGTTTAGAAACATGGATATAAATACCAAAAGAATGTGTTACAGGGAGGTCTGGGGAAGGAATAATGAGGAGTAAGAGAATAGGAGACCACTATGTTTTTGCTGCTGCTGTTGTTTTTAGTAACAAATCTTTGTCTCTCTCTGAATATATAAAGAGCATGCATAATTTTTAAACATGAATTTCATATACAATTTTTATTTAAAAACTGTTTAAAAGAACACAATATCTATAACTATTTTTAGGGAAACAAAAATATAAAACATGTTTGCTGAAATTGCTATACATTTAAAATGTTCTTCATTATCAAACTATAGATAAATTATAGAAGAGTTTCATTGGGTATTGATCATTATGTTTGGAAAAATATAAAGGAATTTGCTTTCACATTAGATTAGTATACATTTAGGTCTCTGTGATAATTTCCTTAGCACAAGTAAGTGACGATTCCAAGTGTTTTTGGCCAAGTAAGTACTCACCAGATCTAGTGGACTGAGACGAGTGCCAGATATAGGCCTGGAGTCAGATAACTCAAAACTGGACGCATGGAGGCTAACATAAGAGATGGTGGAGAGTTTTAGTCTATAGATAATTATTGCTTCTATTTTTAGTATTTGTTAGTTAAGTCTAGCTGAAAAACAAGTAAAAGCAGTCAATGCATAAACATGAGAAAAAGACATTTAAAAAATGTCACAGTACTTAAAACATTTTATTAGCAAGTCTTTTGCTACTTTCAGGAGGATTAAGTAACAAAAAGAATAAATGTATGTAGTGATTTTAAAAAAGCTTTGTTCATATCACTTTTTAAAGTTGGTAGGACAATCACTAGGAACCACTCCATTCCAAAGTAACTTCCTTAATCCAAAGTCTAGAATTACCTTTAAGATCTTGAACAAAAGTCAAACTTTAAAAAATAACTACTTTGAAAATCAGTTAGCATAACCCAGCATATGCAGAAGCTAAAGAAGAAAAGTCATATGATCATGTCCATAGATGCAGAAAAGCATGTGACAAAACCTAACCCCACTTAGATAAGGATAAAATCTCTCAGTAAAAGTAGGTATAAAAGCAACTTCTTCAACTTGACAAAGAATATCTACCAAAACCTATAGCTAACATCTAACTGATGAAAAACTAGAAGCTTTCCCACTGAGATCAGGAACAAGGCAAAGATGTCCCCTTTCACCACTGTTTTTCAAGATCATACTGGAAGTCCTAGCTAGACAAGAAAAGGAAATGAAAGGCACATGGATAGGGAGTGAAGAAATAAAATTTTGTTTTTGCAGATGACAAGATCATCTATGTAGCAAATCCTAAAGAACTAACAAAAAAAACTCCTGGAAAAAATAAGGGATGACAGTTTATTTAATGCACCTAACCTACCAGTATCACAGTTTAGCAACCCACTACACATTCTAGAGTATTCATGTCTACCTGTGGCTGATTGGGAGCTAAGACTCACTGTTGCTGCCCAGCATCACAGTGAGCATCCAACTGCATATGGTTAGCCCAGGAAAAGATCAAAATTCAAAGTCCAGTTGCTATGAATGCATGTCACTTTGCATTATTGTAGAGTGAAAAAAAAAAATCTCAGGTAGAACCAACATAAATCAGGGCCTGTGCAATGCAGAAAGATAACATTTTCAACAGATGGTGCTGAGATAATTAGATATCTACACCTACACACACACACACACACACACACACACACACACACTCACACACACACGAAACTAGACACAGACTTTATATCTGTCATGAAAATTAACTCAAATTCAATCATGGACTTAAATATGAGACACAAGACTATACAACTTCTAAAAGATAACAGGATAACAGGAGAATTTCTAGATGACCATGGATAAGATGACTTTTTTTTTTTTTTTTTGCAGTACTGGGGATTGAACTCAGGGCCTTATACATGCTAGGCAAATGCTCTACCACTGAGCTACAGCCCCATTCCAAGGTGAGGACTTATATTTATATAATACCAGTGGCATGATCCATGAAAAAAAGAACTACTCTAGTAATATTAAAAATGTCTGCTCTGCAAAAGATAGTCAAGTGAGTAAGAAGACAAGACACAGACTGGTAGAAAATATTTGTGAAAGACATATAGGATGAAAGATTGCTATCCAAAATAATCAAAGAATTATTGAAGCCTAACAGTAAATTAGACCAAGAAATACCACTATAACTCTATTAAAATGGCCAAAATCCATTGACAACACCAAATGCTGGTGAGGGGATATGGAGGAACAGAAACTCTCATTCATTGCTGATAGAAAATCAACATGGTATAGTCACTATGGAAGACAGTTTGGCAGTTTCTCCCAGAATCCAACATATTCTTACCATATGATCCAGCAACTGTGCTCCTTAGTATTTACCCAAAGGAACTGAAAACTTATGTCCACATAAAAACTTGCACCTGGATGTTTATAGCAGCTTTATTTGTAATTGCCAAAACACTGAAGCAACTGAAATGTCCTTCAGTAGATGAATGGTAAACTGAGGTACTTCCAGACAATGGAATATGAGAAAGTATCAAGAAGGAAATTGCTATAATACCATGAAAAGCCATGAAAGAAATTTAAATGCCAATCAGTGAGTGAAAGAAGCCAGTTTGAAGAGGCTTTCTACTGTATGATTCCTATTATATGACATTCTGAAAAAGGCAAAACTATGGGTATAGTAAAACCATCAGTGGTTGGGGGAAGGGAGAGATAAATAAGCAGAGCACAACTAAGGGGAAATGTAATCTGGTGGCCTAAATAGCTGAGTGTACACAAAAATAAAATGTCATATACCTGAAGGAGGAAGGAGGCCTATTTTCTGGTGTTCTTGATGATGCAGGTCCAAATAGCTTCCTTTGGTCTTCCCGAGGTGTAAATGGTCTTTGGGTTCTAACTGTTCTTAATGCATTTCGTGCTTCACTTATGATTTCTGCACTGGTCTTCGGCTTGGATACCAAAGATGGATAAAATGGATCCAGTTTTCCTAACTTTTTATCATTTGAAGACAGCATCTTTTCTTTTAAAATACAATGTTCTTCAGATAGACACCACACCCTGCAAATATACAGTACAATAAACATCAAGTACTTTTATCCAGTACTTTAGAGAAAGCAGTGCTTACTACAAGCCCATCCATATATTAAATCATTCCTGTTTATTAGGTTTGAAAAAAATCACAAACAATTTCCAATTTAAAAATCCAAGCAAGTTGGGCATGGTATGCATGCCTATAATCCAAGTTACTCTGGAAGTTTGAGGCCAGCCTGGAGAATTTAGTGAGATGCTGTCTCAAAATAAAAATTAAAAAGGGCTGGAGATATAGCAGTGGGAGAGCATTTGCCTGGCATGTGCGAGATCCTGGGTTTAATCCACAGGGGGAAAAAAATCCAAGTGGTGTAGAGAGTAAAGATAAGAGACCAGCTCTCAAAAAATATGGGTTCCATATGAGTTTGAGATATAGCTCAATGTATGCCACCTGCCTACTGTTCAGGAGGCCCTGGTTTGGATCCCCAGCAACACACACACATACACACACACAAAGCTGTATAGTTGTGTCATCAATGGAAAGATGCAGGGAAGAGACAATCACCTCATGTTCTCCCCCTGCCCATCAATGTGGGGGATCAAACTCAGGCCCTCCCACATGTTAGGCAAGTGCTTTACCACTGATCTACACACCCAGCTCTCATCTCACATTTTTCAACCTACAAAAAAACAATGGGGTTCAGTTAAAAATTTTCACTAAAGTCCCCTTTTCATCCAAGTTGCTGTCAACATAAAATGCTAATAAAAGATTAAATATTAAACAGACAGAGCCTTTATGTACTGGGGGCTTAATCCAGGGGTGCTTTACCAATGAACTACATCCCACTCCTTTTATAAAATTTTTATTTTGAGACAGGCTCTTGCTAAGTTGCTGAGGCTAGCCTCAAACCAGCAATCCTCCTGCCCCAATCTCCCAAACTGCTGGGATTACAGGCATGCAGCACCATTCCCAGCCTATTGCTTTTGTAACAAATCTGAGAATAGTTTGGTCTCATATTTGTCCATAATATTTTTGAATGAACTGATTCAAATCACCTTCAATTTGAGATAGTTCCCCAGATGAACAAATACCAAATATCTATATCAAATGTTCCTTTCCCAGCTCACATTACTCAGGTAACAAAATAAAGTCACATATAAGGGCCATGAGAATGCAGATCCTTCTCAAATGCTGGGGTGTCTGTCCCATGAAGACTGGTCTGACTTTAAAATAGTACAGACTGTTCAAAATTTAATCCTAATTAGTATATGGTATTAGGTATTTATTTCTTTAAAAAATCTTTAACCCAAAAAAAAGAATTTAGCAACCTCTAACCCTATTAAAATGTCACATCTCTACGGCACTTGCCTAGTGCAGCTCTAGAGTGACGGGCCACACTATTTACGTACTGTTCACATAATTTACGTAATTATTCACATATTTCAGCTGCTCAGTTTTAGAATGACTTCTGCAAAAAAGAAAATGTTTTTGTGACATATGCTCAAATAAACTAAAAAGATTCCATTTCTATAATCAGGACAAACAAGTGCTTCTTTAGACAAATGAAGAGTTACTATATTATGACTCTATATGTTAAGTTTTTACATAACAACAGACAACAATAACATTTGTTTAGTTCTACCCACGCCCCACCCCAAGAGTTTCTCAGGAAAAAACTGAGATGAAAACTACAAACAATATGTCATTCTTTTCATATGAAAAGGCCAGGTGTTACTTGAAACAGTAAAAAGCTACTGGATAAGCAATACTTTTAAGAATTTTTGATATAGGATTTTGAATTTAAGTAAGGTCTATAGAATTATATACATAGACACAACTACAAAAAACTATGGCAGGCTAGTACATTTTATTTCTAACCTATCTGCCACACTGACTCATCATTTAAAATATACATAAAACGTTTTAGATATGTCCTTGTACATTTACATATACTATTTTTGAATGCATAATATAAATTCAGCACCACAACATATAATTTAAATGGCCATGACAGGCTTTTTGGTTTGTTTTCACAAGATCTATTGCAGGGTTGGAGGTGTAGCTTAGAGGGAGGGCATGTGCTTAGCATGTCCACTGCCCTGGGTTTGATCCCCAGCAACAAACACAATAACAACAAACCCATTGCAGTAAGATCATGCCATATACTAAGAAGTTTCTAAACAACTAAGAGCTTTCTTCCAGAGTCTAAATCAGATTTTCTATTCCTTTGGCCTCACATGGCACTAATAAGTCTAAACTGTCCAAAGGTAATCTGGCAAACCTAATAAAAATTAGAGAAAGCATTTTAGAGAGGAAAAATGTATGAGTCCTGACCCAAGGCTCTCCCCCACTATCTTTTAGTTTGCATTGAAAAGGACAGTCTTTCATAGAGTAATAAAGCAGGAACATTTACTCAGGTCACATGAAGGATTCTGTAAATTATTTGGGCATACAGGAGTTAGACTGACCAAATGCTGGTGGAAAAATATGAACAATAGACTTGAAAATCTTTTTGTCTGTAAAAGTTTGCCACAAATTCTAGCACTTTATCCCTCTTCTTTCCTCTTCTTCCCAAATCTCACTTTCATTTACAATGATGTAAGATCTACACAATCTTTCATTATTCTATTATTATAATATTATTATTAGCTCAAATCTGGAAATGTTTACTAATGCAAGTGAACTGGTTAGAAGTGGTGCTTTTTGAGGGGTTAGATTTTTTTTCTTTATGTTGGTTAAGTTACAAATTATTGTAGATGGCTTTTGCCAAGTTGAAAAATAATCACTCAGTTGGAAATCTTGTCTACTTATATAGTAAAGCATTTTCAAACCATAGCACAATAGTACCACGAAATTTTAACTTTACAAAATTTTCCTGACGATGGAACAGATCCATTCCACTAAGATTAATCAACTGTTTCCCATGTACAAGTTCTTTACCTGGCTCTCTGGGGACACAGAGAAGAATAAAGCATGGTATTCACTCTCAGCAATGCACTCTAATGCTAATTAAACATTTACTTTAAGGCCACACACTGTGCTAAGTACTCTTGAGCATAGCATCTCAATTAATCCCCATTACAATTCTTTTAGACAGAGTCTTAAGCAATAATAAAAGAAAAGCCATGGCATGAGTCCAGAGGTGATATACAAACTACTACCCACTAGATGGGGTGGTAGGAGGCAGGGCATTTGGAAACCATGGGCTACAATGATTTCCCCATCAACATAGACACACCCCAATATTTTTACAAGAGCTGGTGGGTACAAGCTGAATTTTAGCCCTACTGGTACTCAAATGATTTTAATATATGAAAGAAATTGATTTGGCAATAAAAATAAAGATGAATTACCACGTGATTATAAAGAAGGGAGAGATTTCTGATCTTGCAAAAGCATCTGGTAGAGGTAGTACTTGAGTTAGCTTCTGAAAAATGGATTGAATTGGAGCAAGTGGCAGGGCTGGCATTGGGGCTGAAGTAGAGAAAGAAGTTCCAGCAAAGTCAATGAGTGAGGTGAGCACATGACGAACATCAAGAATACATGTTCATGTATGGACAAGAGTGAACTGCAAAAACAATGACTGGAGCTGACCACAGAAAGCACTAAATGGCAGGTAAAAAAAAATTTAAAGCTGGGCTGGGATTGTAGCTCATTTGTAAGAGTGTCCACCTCGCATGAGTGAAGCACTAGGTTCGATCCTCAGCACCTACAGATACCAACAAAATAAAGGTTATATGTTCATTACAATTAAAATATATATTTTTTTAAAAAAGAAATTAAAGCTGATGACCAAATAAAATTTTTAAAGAGATAATGAGATCTGGCAAGGATAGGCAGGAAGGAAGGAAAGACTAGAAGTGGTGAAATCAGGCAATTCTTATATAAGTTATATAGACTTAGTTCTTACCTAACTCTACTCTTAGGGGGCACTTCCTCAAGGAACTTTTTATCCTCCTCACCTGAGTTTTCTGTCCCTCATCTCGACTCCACAAGGTCCTCAGCTGCTCTCTGTTGGTTTTTTGTTTGTGCTCCTGGGATGGAACCCAGGGCCTCACATCTGCTAGGCAAGGCCCCACTACTGACTACATTCCCAGCATTTCCAGTATCACAAACTTTTTTTTTTTTTTTTTTTTTTGGTAGTACCAGGGACTGAACCCAGAGTCTCATGCATGCTAGGCAAGTACTCTGTCATTGAACTACATTCCCAGCCCAGAACTTTTTTTAAAACAAACTATTTCTTACTGCTTTTGGAGAAAGTTAAGAGTCATCATTTATAGAAGTTTACACCTAATTATAAAACTTTCCCTTTAGCTTTGCTAATAGCTACCTGAGTCAGAGCCTCCTTGCTAAATGAAATCAGGGGATCTATAATAGGGGAAAGGTTGGTCATCTGTACACTCTTTTTTCTTTTTTTGTACCAGGGATTGAATCTAAGGGTGCTTAACCACTGAGCCACATCCCCAGCCCTTTTTATATTTTATTTAGAAACAGGATCTGGCTGAGTTGGTTAGGGCCTCGCTAAGTTGCTGAGGCTAGCTTTGAACTTGAATCCTCCTGCCTCAACTTCCCAAGCCGCTGGGATTACAGGCATGCACAACCCCGCCTGTTGATCTGCACACTCTTTTCCCTGCAAATCAAATACTCCAGTCTCTTTTCCTGACTTTAAATTATTTTGGGGTTAATATGAGCATCCAAAGAGGCAACAGTAGAGCTTAGGTGTTGAAATAAGGGCTTAAATCCTCTAAAAATTCAGTGTTATGTGACTTTGGGCAAGGCCTTAAACATCTCTAAGGCTGCTTCCTCTTATGTAAAATATGGATAGTAATTGTCTTACAGGATTGTTTTAAGAATTAAATTAAGTGATCTATGTCAAGTACTTTATCAGGTGCCTGGCCTTTAAAAAACAACAATTTAACAACAACTGTCCCGATGCTAGGTGATAAAGGGATATAGAAAAAAATTCTCCCATAAATGTAAAACTACAAAAGAAATAGAATGACATTTGCTCAGCATTTTCATGTATTTTATAAGCTTTAAATTCTAAATGGAGGTGCTCTCCTTTATGAAAGCAGAGAACTGATATTATTTATTGAATATCAGCTATGCAAAATCAACTAATCAGAATCTTACAGATTCCCAAAATAGGATACAAATAAAGAATGTAGCTTGCTTTTCTACCAAGTTAAAAAAAAAAAAAAAAAGAATTCCTAAGTCTGGGTGGGACGGAAGACCTGCTGATACTCCATTGTAATGGATCATAAAAAGCATGAATTATTTTAATGGATGGTAAATACTGTTACATATACATGTTATCTATTTGTTAAGGCCCTGCCTGCAGCCTAGACTAGCCCAGGTACAATCTGTCTGACCTTAGCTAGGTCACCTGCTTAGACACAGCCCCTCCTTCTCCCACCCTGTCATTGGACAAATATTACTGAGCTTCTATTAAGTACCAGGCAATTGGTAAATGTTCCGTGTATAGAAATAGCTGCACCCGACCCCAGACAGCACGCTCATAGTTCTTCTCCTTCCATCAGAGGAGAGAAAGGCAGACGACTGCAGGAGGAATCCCCATTGAACCGGGGTTGGACGCCTCACCTCCCGCGCAGGCACCGGCTCCCCCATTTCGGGCAATGCCCGCTCCCCCATCGGCCCAAGCCAGGACACACTGCAGCAGCATCCTCATCCCGCCAGCCACCCCCCAGCACCATGGCTCGGCCGGGCGAGCCAATGTCTCCATAGTAACCGTACACAAACCACCTCCCGCCGCCGCGGGGGGCCGCCAGCCTGCAGAGCCAGGCCGCTGCTGGGCGAGCGGAGAGGGCCGGGGAATGAGCTAGGAGGAGGCAGAGGGAAGGTGGCTCTCGGCCTGACCCAAAGCACCTGTGATGAGCGCTGGAGACAGTGAGCCCGGCGGAGTTTAGCGCATCCTCGGCTTTGTACAGCAGCCACCGCCAGGTCGGAGCGGGCAGGTCGGGGCGGAGCGGGGCGGCCCTGGCGCCGCTCAGCCACTGGGCCTGCGCCGGTCCCACCAACGCATGCGTAGAAATGCCGAGGCGCTGCCGCTGCAGGTGCGGGAGCGAGAGGGCTGGAGAGGAACCGCCCTGTAGGAGCTGGGCTCCCACCTGGAGCGCATCGTGGGGAGGAGACTTCTTTTAAGTTAGCAATTTACTGAACCACATTTATCGAGCCCCTGCCAGATCTCCCCGCCTCTGTTAAATAACTAGGTAGGACGGCAGCTTCGTGTTTAGGGTAAGAGGATTTACTGGTTCCGATTGCGGCTTTATGTGTCCTGGAACCAGCTCCTTAATCTCTCAGTTTCCTCCTCTGATCGGGCTGTTAGACAGATTAGATGAATAAATAGATATAAAGTGGGATGCACACGGCAATTAATGAACATTAAACTTGGCTATCGTCCGGGTTTACAAAGGGTATTCACATATCTCTCTTTTGAGAGTCTTTGAGACTCTTGAGCTGGTAGCCTGGTGACCCCATTCATAGAAGAGGAACTGGGGGCCCCAGGCCTGGCGAGTGGCAGAGTGAGATTTGAGCCTAGGTTCCCCGTGGCGAGTCATTTTTTGCCCCCTTTTGCCCCCTACTGCATCAACACAGTTGAATAGTAAAAAGAACCCCATTTGTTTAAATTCTGTTCTCTCCTATTAGATCATTCAGTAACACTTTACAGTGTTAAGTACAAGTGAGACCATAATCACTTTCCATTCAGGTTTGCACCACATTTTATAAATATAGGGACTTTTCAGCTGAAGTGTTGTTGTCAACATTGGGAAAAATACGCCACATGCCTTAGTGCTAAGTACCTTGTAAAGAATAATTAAATTGAAAACATATTTGAACACATACTACGTGCTTGGTGAGAAATTATTCTAACCTGAACTAAAGGAATGTAAATACTCTTCAAGTGTCCATTAAGATTTCTCACATAACAGACAATAAATATGTCCTTGTTGATTCATTTTAGCACCTGAAACAAAATATTTGTGTTCTTCAAGGTTGAAATCTTTTCTATTGACTCAGCATAAATTATCATATCAAGTCCCATTTACTGCTCACTGGACTTCCTTGTGCAAAGGAAGCTTTACCTGTTTTATATAAAACCATAACTAGTTTTAAACGCACAACTTGTGTGATAAAATGCAATTTTATTTTGGTCTCTCATTATCATTTTAGAATGTATTCTATGCTGTTTATCTTCTGTCCCTGAATAGAAAGTTAGCAGAGACCTTGAATTTTCTGCGCATTCTTAGATTAAGGGCAGTCTGATCTTAAGTTTCAACCTCAGCTTTGTTTCAGATTATGTTGGGTGCAAGACATAAATGTATCAAACTTCAGATGAAATTGTCTTCATGGCCCTATCCCCATCCCAGGCTTAAGGTCTATTGTTGGCCTTCTCGGAACAGATGCAGTTGGCTTTGTTGGCTCCTTCTCTGTTGCCTAGGGGTCCTGTAGGGTGGAAGAGGAAAGAAGTGGAGTGAGGGGAGAAGTAAGAACTTCTCCCTTGGATGACTGAGCTTGCTGTAAGGGCCTATGGTTAAGTTGACTCATAAGGGTCTTGCCTAGGCTTTTTGGAGTTTCTCATGGGGACCCCTGTTCTGAGACTCCTGACTCAGGTGGATGCAGTACTATTCAATTGGTTGTTTTTGACCCTTTTCCTGCACCCAGCAATCCATTGTTCACTTCAGTTTCCTCTGTCCCTTTAGATAAATCCTAAGAGAAACCCACATATCTCTTGTCCCAGGGACTCTGAGCATGCAAGCTTATCTCAAAGCCACCCATGCTCCTTGCTGCTACAGGATAACAGGCCTACCTGGGAAAACCTTCTCACTGGTTTGAAATCAAAGAGGTAGCTCTCCACATTCCTTTCTCCAAAGAAATTTCCTTACACATCACCGCCCTCCACTCTCTTGATTTCTTATTTTCAGCCTCAGCCTGGGCAAAGGGTCCCGAATTAAGATGGGGTTGATATGCTTTTCTTGTACCCTGCCCTCTGGACTCTGTCTAGCCTTCACTTGGAACTGATGATTATACATGTACATCTTGGTTGAAACATCAGCTTAAAAACGTGCTATACAGTCAATGACTAGCTATGGCCTTGCAACTGGGATCTTAGTCTAAAACAGACACTACTGAAATCTGAAGCTAGCCAGCACAGGCCAGGAGATGACTGCCAGGCAAGTTAGAAAAGAATGACAAGTTGAACAATTAAAAAGAATGACAAAGCAAATTATAGGAAATAATTATTTGAAGCAATAAAGTCATGAATTTTATCTCTCCAAAGGCCACTGTTTGGGAATTTACTTAGGCTGTTACTGCAGTGGTCTGATACACTGAGCTGGCTGTTCCTAACAGAATTTTACATAGATCTGCTTTGTAAACACACTTACTTCAGAGACAAGACTGTCAGCATGTTTCATATACTTAAGATCAAAGAAGACAAAATATTAATTATATGTATCTGACACTTATAAAGTACTTTATACTTTCCAAATTGCTTTCATTTGGAATTTTTTTTTTTCTGGTGCTGGGGATCAAACTCAGGGCCTCAGGTAAACACTCTATCAGAAGCTACATGTCCAACCTAGAACATTTTATTTCTGTTGTCTTTTTTTAATAGTTTTTTTAAATTTTTAATTTGTTATATATAATAACAGAATGCATTACAATTCATACTACACATATAGAGCACAATTTTTCGTATCTCTGATTGGACACTATTTCTGTTGTCTTATTTGGAGTTTATATAATAAGCCAGAAAAGTTAATTCCAAAGATTATTATCCCATTTTGAGAGTGGAAAATGTGGAGGTTCAGAGAGGTTAAGTGATCTGCCCACAAGCACATAGTTTTTGCTAAAAAGTCTCTGAGACCTGATATTCTTTTTTTAAAATTTCTTTTTTCTTTTTTTTTTAGTTTTCGGTGGACACAATATCTTTTTTTTTTTTTTTTTTTTTAGGACCCTACTGTGTATTCCATCTTAGTCATAACCCTCTCCATATTCCAAGAAACATTGTGGAACATCAATATTTATTAATTTTTAACTTTATAAAATTATTCCCTTATTATGTATGCTTTACCCACTGTATATCCTTCCTAAAATTATGGTACAATTTTACTTTTTTAAAATTTGCACATAGCAAAGTTGTAATGTATATATTGTATTGTATTGTAATCTTTTAACTCAACATTTTAAAAAAGTTTAATTCATTGTATTTAATGTAGCTATAGTTAGCCATTTTTATAAGTACATAATATAATATTATAGGACTATATCACAAAATTTTCCAGTATTGATAACAGGTGTGTTTTCTTCAATACATTGCTATTATAAACCATACTGCTCTGATCAATTTTGTATATATGTATCTTATGATTAAGAATTTCTTCAGAGCATATAGTATATCTGAAAAGTAAAGTATCATAAGGTGCCCTTATTTTCTACTTTCTTAGCAATGAAAAACTATTTTCCAAATAGATTAGACCAACAAAACCATAATTAGTATCCCTGAAAAAATATTTCTTTATGTAGAATACCAATATGTAGAAAACCCTGAGGTTTGCTTACTCATTTCTTTAACTGAAATTTAGGATGTCTCCCTTCTTTATGATTACATATAATGCTACAATTAATTTATTTGTAAATTTTACATCAAATTTATTTATTTTTTTTTTAATTTTTTATTGTGGGTTCTTCAAAACATTACAAATTTCTTGACATATCATATTCCACACTTTGATTCAAGTGGGTTATGAACTCCCACCTTCACCCCATACCCAGATTGCAGAATCACATCAGTTACACATCCATTGATTTACAAATTGCCATACTAGTGTCTGTTGTGCTCCGATGCCTTTCCCATCCTCCACCCTCCCCCCTCCCCACCTCTCCCCTCCCCTCCCCTCCTCTCTCTCTACCTCCTCCACTGTATAACCCTGAGGGTCTCCTTCCATTACCATGCAATTTCCCTTCTCTCTCCCTTTCCCTCCCACCTCTCATCCCTGTTAAATGTTAATCTTCTTCTCCTGTTCTTCGTCCCTACACTGTTCTTAGTTACTCTCCTTATATCAAAGAAGACATTTGGCATTTGTTTTTTAGGGATTGGCTAGCTTCACTTAGCATAATCTGCTCTAATGCCATCCATTTCCCTGTAAATTCTATGATTTTGTCATTTTTTAATGCAGAGTAATACTCCATTGTGTATAAATGCCACATTTTTTTTATCCATTCGTCTATTGAAGGGCATCTAGGTTGGTTCCACAGTCTTGCTATTGTGAACTGTGCTGCTATGAACATCGATGTAGCAGTGTCCCTGTAGCATGCCCTTTTTAGGTCTTTAGGGAATAGACCAAGAAGGGGAATAGCTGGGTCAAATGGTGGCTCCATTCCCAACTTTCCAAGAAATCTCCATACTGCTTTCCAAATTGGCTGCACCGATCTGCAGTCCCACCAGCAATGTACAAGTGTACCCTTTTCCCCACATCCTCGCCAGCACTTCTTGTTGTTTGACTTCTTAATGGTTGCCAATCTTACTGGAGTGAGATGGTATCTTAGGGTGGTTTTGATTTGCATTTCTCTGACAGCTAGAGATGTTGAGCATTTTTTCATGTACTTGTTGATTGACTGTATGTCCTCCTCTGAGAAGTGTCTGTTCAGGTCCTTGGCCCATTTGTTGATTGGGTTGTTTGTTCTCTTATTGTCTAATTTTTTGAGTTCTTTGTATACTCTGGATATTAGGGCTCTATCTGAAGTGTGAGGAGTAAAGATTTGTTCCCAGGGTGTAGGCTCCCTATTTACCTCTCTTATTGTTTCTTTTGCTGAGAAAAAACTTTTTAGTTTGATTAAGTCCCATTTGTTGATTCTAGTTATTAACTTTTGTGCTATGGGTGTCCTATTGAGGAATTTGGAGCCCGACCCCACCGAATGTAGATCGTAGCCAACTTTTTCTTCTATCAGATGGCGCGTCTCTG